GGGTGGGGGGTGGGGGGGTTTGCTACCATCAGGGCTAATGGTTTACTTTGTTTTCCAGGAAATCTTGGACTGTGGAGCACAACTCATTAGTCATTCCTTGTGGCTCAATATCACCTTCAGCATGATCCAAACCACAAATGTGAGTCACTAATTATCTTTCCTTTGTTTCATTAGAATCAAGCATTTTTACAGTTTTTTATTGTTTGTATTTTTTCTTGTTTTATCTTATCTTACTTTTTTTGCACAAAAAGCAAAATACATTTGTCTTTGATACCTGAACATGATATATAGTTTTTGTTGTTGTTCCTATTTCAATTTTTCTATAACACAGAAATATCTACATATATATCATCACATGTATGTGATGCCATAATGTCTCTTGCTGTTTTACAGTAAATCACCAGTTTGAGGACAGTCAGAGTGTCAGGCCAACTTGCTTTCAAAGTTGCACTAAAAAAGATTCTTCATCCCAGACTTAACAGGATAGCCTTGTCGCCAGATGATATCAACATTTTTTGCTATTAGCAATTTTAAGAAATTTTCTCTTTGTGCAGTGGTACTAGACAAGTCAGACTGCTTTTAGATTTCAGGTTACTTGGTTCAAACTGCAGCATGTGGAACATTTCACAAACTGCAGTGCACTCAGCCCACTAAAGAAGCTAATTTAATACAGCTTTATGGATCACTGCTATTAAAAATATTATTTTCAAAATGTCTCTTTCAAGCCCTTTCTTGTGAGTATTTTACCTTTCCTTGCATCAAGGAAACTAATACATTCCCTTGTAATTAGAACTGATTCAGGGAATATACACAATATTTCTGCATTGTAAACCTACAATTCCCCCAAATTATCTGCATGCATGACGAGCTCTAGATTTACCTACTTTAGTTCCTATGAGCCTAAACAAAGAATCCACATCGGTACTTCCATATTTCTGCCCAGGATTTCCCAGACACAAATAAGTGTTCGCATATCCTTAAAATATTTGAAGTATGCGCAGTAAATCCACTACTTTCATAACATGTCAGACGTACTTGTGAATGTGCAGAAGAACTGAACACCACATGCTCAGTAGCTGTTATGCCTCCTGGAAAATACAGATATACTGTGAGTGTCAGGACTGCCTGGCAGCGCAATCTAGTACTTTCTGGAGTCATCCGACTTAAGGCAGCACCACTGTCCCAGAGGACAGAGAACCTGCTCTGCCCATCACAGTGCTCACATACAGCACACTTACATAGGCTGCACTACACCTCGGAAAGAGAATGCTTCCTCAGTGCCACCAGGCACTGCGTTTTGGGACTGAAGAGAGGCAACAGGAAGACCCCTGGGCAGGTAGCAACCCCATGGCAATGCAAGGTCACACGCGTGCAGCATTCTGGCAATTCCTGTAGAAATGATGGAGCTGTACTGATCAGAGTAACGTTAGGATCTGACCCAGCCACTTTTTCTCTCAAGAGAAGACTTTGATCTTTGGAATTGGGTGTTACCATAGATCAACAAACAGAACCAACAAAGGGTAGAGCATGCATTAGTGTAAGGATAATAACAAGCATATCAAGAAATCCAAGAATGAATTAAGCCAATAGAAACAAGCAAAGCGAACATATCAACATCTCTACACAATCACTCTGAAGAAAGATAATATTTACAACAGATGTTCAGCTTCTCGTCCATTCTCTGCAATTCAGAATTTCAGGAGACAAGAATTGCTTTGTCAGTGTTACTGTACATGTTTAATGCAAGGTATTTAGAAAGCATTCATGTTGGGGAGGGGGCATTAAAAAAGAAGAGAAAGAAAAAAAACAGCAAGAAAGACAAAGGTAAGATGGTACTGGAATTGGCTCTGTTTATTCATCTCTACACACTGATTTTGCTGGTGCACTTCTTCAACCTGGACACACTGACATGTACAGACCATCAGGCACACTGAGCCCAGCAGTGGGGGACAGGGGAAGCAGCTGAGCCAGGGAGACAAATTCAGGGCAGATCTCAGGATGGCAGGGAAGAGTGTGTCAGGGATAGAGATTTTACAACTCAGGATATTTTGTTCTTTCAGGAGACTTCTACATTATAATACAAAAACAGGACATTAGGCATACAAGGTTTAATTGCTGTATTTCAGCCCCCCAAAAGTAATGTGAAATACAAATTTCAAAAAACTGTATCCCTCATTCTTATTGGATGGCTCTGGTAAAAGTGTATGAAGAATGTAATATATCTTCCTTGTATTAATATACAGTATAAAGAAATAGCTCTAGAGCTCAGGACACAAATGGAGCTTTAGATTAGCTGTCAACAATGTCATATCTATGTTAATAATGCCCTATTCATGCCTGGGGCTGACAGTCTTTCTTATTTTTATTCACAAATTCCATTTAATAACAGCAATAAGTCACTCTAGACAGTGCATTTCTAAGGGATTTTTGCACTTCTCAGGTGGTTAAAGTCACTTGACCTTCGGCCTCATGCTTTAAAAACTCCCTAAGAGATGTGCTAAATTGCCCAGAAATACATTGCCTGTCATGTCTTGTTGCTTAATTAAGGGCCAACCTAGATGGCCTATAAGGACTGCCCTTAAGTAATTACTAATTGATCTCCTACTCAAGAAAAATGAATAAATTCCACAGCAGCCACACTGTCACATGGCATTTACTCAAATTCATATTCCTCCAATAGAAAATGAAAAGCATACAGCATATGGGTGGATCGAGGGCAGAAGCATCTTTAGAGCAGCTAAGCCTCACTCCCAGTTTGTCATGTCTTATTGACTGTAGCCATTGCTCTTAGCCCTTCACTTGTGTTGAGACAAAATACATTGCTTGAAAATCAGAGGGTTTAAAAAATAAGAAATATCTAGAATTTTCCATCTGGGTTTACTTGCACTGAAAGATATTTAATCTTTGTTACAAATATCTAAAGGAATCTCAGCGAGAGTGATATATTGTCACCTGATAAAAGCAACATAATTATAGCCTACCAAAACAGCCAGAGGAAACACATTTTCAGAGCTCTTTTCTGAAGAAAGGAGGTGGGATTTAGGTTGGCACAGGAGAGGTTCTTGCAGCTTTTTTTACCCAAATTGTGTTTCAGAGCGCATGAAACATATCTCCTGGACTTGTTGCACTTTCTGTCTAAATCTCCAGATGGTCCAAGAAAAGTGCTGCTATCTTCTGGTTTTATCAGATGATGAGAATGCTTTGGGCTGCATCCGAAATCCTGACTATGCATAGGAAGATGTTTTCAGGTATGAGCGATATGAATACGATGCTCTTAGGAAATGTATGGTTAACAACATTTACTAACCTCCTATTACTCTTAGCAAGCAGTTTTTACATACTGACTTCTCACACCTACATTAGTGTGAGAATTGATATAAATTATACATAATACATATACAAAATAAATACACTTACACATCTCAAAATTACTTGAAGTAAAAAGGACCCATATTTGAAACATTTCCCTCAGACACACTGGATGAAGCCAGGGCTCACTGGAGTCAACGATAACATTTCTGTTCACTTCACTGAGTCCCAGACCATAGTCTGGTAGACATGAATCTTACAAAACAATAAGTTGAGAACCATTCTGATACAGGTTAATATATGGTACAGGACAATAAGCACATTTTTTTGGTGCCTGGTATGAAAAACTGCAGTGATTCCGTGCTTCAGCTGATGCTTTATGCAGGGTTTCTCCTACCCCTTTAAAACACATTATGGGAAGAGCAGCATTTACACTCATGGTGGGAAAATAGGGAATCTGAACTCTGGAAGGACACTGATAACTGCCCTGGTGCTAGCACCAATGGCATCACACTAGGAACCATATTAAGATAGCTACCTCACTTATTAAATGATTAAGTGCTTTATTTTCCATATCCTTTAATACATTACATGTTATGGAGTAAGTATATGTGAAACTGTAAATGTTATGGATAGCTGTGACCCGTCCCAGAAATACACCTTCTTGTCATTATGATTATGTAATTGATTGCTATTATTTCATTTCAACGTATTGTACTAATTACTTCAAAATATCATGAGATTGATAAATTAAATAAATGCACTAATCAACAGGCATTCCTTAAGCCGGTTTGAAACAGGGATAAAGAGCAAGCTATGAAGGGCTGCTTGCCCCTACCTGAATAAAACCAAATCCAACAACTGCCCTTTCAAACAGTCCTCTGGGTACTCTGTGTAAAAATTACATCCTGTCCTATTTCTGCAGTTGCAGTTCTGGAATAATATGTTTGATTAAGCTGGATACCAACAAGATGTGTAAATATATGCAATGTAAGCTAATTTTTTGTGATATAACATTTTGGCGGTTACTCATGGGCAGCGATGAAGTGGCATTCCTAGTGGGTTTTTTTTCAGAATCTCAGAGCTCAACTAGAGCTTTGTCATATTAACATCATCTTAACCAGACATCAATATTCATGCATCATTTTGGTGTGGCAGGAAAGCATATTCCTTTAAAAATAAGGGAATAGTAATACTGATAATTCTGATTCCTGGATGTGCCTAGTTTCTTGCAGTTGAAAAAGCCTTTTCTGTCATCATGTTCTGCAATGATTTTTGTGTTTTTCTATAACATTTTTCTCCCTACACATGTGGGTTTTATATCCTCTTCATGTTGGTATAGCATGAAGTCTTATGTGGAATTTAGAGGATCTGAACTAAATGTAGCTAAAAGGAACTTTTGGATGAACTGCCTGGGATTTGTTCAGATCTGTTAAAGTAATGGGGGAAAGCACAAAAGGATAAAGAAAAGAAAGGCCTTAATCTTTGTTCCATGAGTGATAAAGCAGCATCACATGGGTGAAAATTGGCCTGACCTTCACCCACATGATGCTGCTTCTGCCTCAGCCACTCTTTCTTTGCTCTGATTAAGTGAAGATAGCCTCTTTCTCTGCAAGGAAAAGTCAAAGAACAAAAAGAAAAAAAATCCTGTCTTAAGTATAAAAGGTTTATTTTTTTAATCACAGTTGGGCTCATACAAGCCAGTTTCTAATCTTATTTTTTTAAGCTAAAAAAGTGCCTTTTTAGAATTTCTTTGGCTCGGTTTCTTTAGCCCCCCCCCCCCCCTCGAACCTGGGGGCCTAGATCTTAACTTGCTTCCCTTGGATGTGCTTTGTTGCTCATTTTCACTTTTACATGATAGCTGTTTGACTTAAATGGGTTGTTCGCCAAAGGATTGCCCCTTGGGGAATGGAAAAACTGGAGGGAGGGAGACGAAAAGCAGTACTCAGCTGGCTTAAATGGCATGTACAGTACAGCTATTGGCAGGGTATTGCCAATGCTCCAAGGAAACTTTCAGTGCTCAGCCTTTACCACTGGATGCCATACACCGAGACGTGGTTTTATCTATCAGGTTCATATAGAGAAGAGAACTTTACTGTGACACTGTTGTCAAACAGCTCCTGTGACTAATATTTTTAACAGCATGATATTTAAAATTTGACAAGGATATAATTCATTCTCCAGATAGTCAACATGCTTGGAGAGCTGGTAATGTCTTCAAAGGTTTCAAAGGACGCCCATTGAAATTAGTCTCTTTTTTTTAATGGGTACTATGTAACTAATTTTTGGTTACATTATTGCAACAGGATCAAAATGTTTTTTTAATTCAGCGCTGATCTACTAAAAATCATTAAAACTCAGAGTTATGTGGGTATGTGTATGTATGTATGTATCTGGCTGAGAAACCTGGCTGAGATCCAGTGAATTATTGACTAAGTCCACTGGCTAGCTTCAGTTTCCACTGGTCATTTTTTCCCTCGGGAGCTAGGAATATATGATGCTGTGCAACATAATGGAATGTCACTGTAATGTGCAATGTCTGTTATTGTATTACATATCTGAGGAAGGGAATGAGGAAAAACCTCCCCAGTTTACCTACAAAACACAAGCATCAGATAGCTTTTAGCTGGAAATACTCTGCATATTCCTTAGACACGCTATCTTACAAAATGGCAAATTACTTAAGTTCACAGTAGTTTCTAAAATTGAAATCAGGCATACCAATACTAGCATGCTCTCTGTAAGTCCAGTGTGACTACTGCTGATTATTAGTGTTGGAAACAACAAACACCAATTCACTCTGTTTAGAAATTTTGCAGCAACTATGATTTATAAGAACATGCTTAAAATAATACTGCTTCTAATTTTGATATGTGAATACACTGACACTGACAACATCTCTTCCCCTTTGGCAGTGGTTTCAGAAGCATCAGCATGAGTTGTTTTCTGGCCTGGAGAGACATTATCTAGCTATACATCCTCGCGTGCACAGCTGAATCATTTAATTATTTTTTTAGTGATAAAACTGAGATTCGCAAGGCCTAGTTTTTGTGTGTAATAATATTGGTCACACCATCTAAGAATATGTTTCCATTTGTTTTCCCAAGTAAATTCCGCCATTGTGTCCACAGAGAGTACCACACAAAATGTTGTGGTTGCAAATATGTTCAGCAACAGTTAGAATTTAGACTCTGATTCAAAGCCCATTGAAGTCAGTGAAAAGACTCCTATTGACTTCAGTGTGCTTTGGCTCCGGCACTTGATTCTTTATTTAGACCCTCTAATGATTACTCAGTGGAAGAGGCAATACTGTGAGCTTTGGGTGCTGCAGTCCTCTTGCTAAAAATAAAATTAAATCTCTAAGGAAATAATTTTTTAGGGAAAAAATTGTAGTTTATATAGCAAGTTTAAATCACTCTGCTATTTAATGCATACGTACAGCAACACACACACATTTATGAACATTTATAGGGAATCACACAAACTTGCATAATACATACAAACACACACTCACACACACCCTCCATGCTCATACTAATCATTTTAAGAATTTAAGACATAAACCTCTAGGGATTGATACACTGGCCAAAACAGGAGTGTCCAGTGGCATCTATGGTGCTGCATGGTATCTGTGACACCCCTGTGGTATTGGCAAACATGACACAGGGTCTGTAAGAGTAATTTTTTCTTTTGAATTAGCAGTAGAAGGCCTGGTGGCATCCCCAGGTCTTGTCAGATGGCATCAGGTCCTGGTTTAAGGCAACTGAAAGGAACCCTTAATCTCAGTAGTTAATTACCAAAAATGGATTATCATTATTCTGTATATTTTCTCCATAGTCATCTTACAGAATTTCTTTTAAGATCAGAATTTGACAAACCAACTGGTTTTAATTTTGTGGCTTGAATCATTATTTCATTAACAAGAGGACAGCATTCATGATGGCATATAAAATATTGACGCAATAGGCTAAATTTAAAAAGATGGAACATACTGAAAACCACATTAAAAAACAAGAATGTGTTTTTATTTAAACACTAAAAATACTTTTAAAATACATTTTTGGCTGAATTGTCTGGTTCTCTTACAGTTTCTCAGTGCTACAGCATTGCTTTAACACACCCATAGAAGCTCTCATTGGGCATATGCGGTACCACCCTCACCAGTAAGGAGGGGAGGTAGTTTGGTAATTTCACCTGCTGATTAGTAGCTATTGACAGGGCTGATGTGAAGCCTTCCTCACCATCAGAAGATAATGACAACCAGTACTTTTGTTTGTTTAAAAGAGTCTGAACCAGCCATTGTATCTTACTGAAAATGCACGTTTCTACATATTAAATTGCTCTACATACAGCACGTTTTGTATGACTTTTTCAGTTCATGGCAGCTGCCTCAAACAACTTTGAAAGGCTCTATTATGGTCTATTGGGTCAAAAATGGCTTTTTTTTTAAGTGCCGAAGTACTTAGTTACAGTGAATTGGTAACACAATATCCACACCATAATATGCATATTGTGCATGACAAAAGGCGAATAATTTGTAATCCCCATTTAAAATAAAAGCATAAATACCTACTGTATTCAGCAGATCTGAAATGTTCTACCAGTACATGTTTAAAAGAGACTCGATGTGTTTGTGTGAAAGACCAAAATGGTATGGACTTTGTTTGTGCAACTTAGTGAACAAAAGTAAGATTTATAGCTCTTGTTTATTCCCACTTCATTATTAACATGTCATCACTATTGAAACGTAGCTTAGGAAATTCATGAGTGAAAATCTACAGGCAAAAAACAGGAATGAAGGGAGCAGAACCTATACGAAGTCTATCCCACATGTAATCCCTCAGTGTGATGTCTCATCCTTCCTGGAGGGCCCATTTCTGGCTCCCTCGCTCACACTAGGTGTCCCTTCTCCTTGGAGAAGACAAGAACAAATTGAGGAATAATGCAAGACTCTATGAGTGTCAGAAATTAGGTTATGATTATTTCATTGCTTTCTCTCTTTTCTGCACAAATTCAGTCCCTCTAATTTTTGTTAACTTTTTTGATATTGTCCTTCCTTATCTATGATAATCATTATCTTTCTGTAAGAGAAAAAAACTTCATGCTTTGGCAAGAGAAGAAGAAACCTGTCCAATGGCACCACCAGACGTGGGTGATGCTAAAGACTGCTGTATTGTATGACCACTGTCCTCCCTGTCCTTCATACAGTCATTATCTGCCAGAGATTTACTTATTTTGCTTGCTGTTTCTCACACATTTTTGCTGATAATATATGTAAGGATCATCCTTCCTCTGTTATATTTGATTAGTGATTCACATGTAGTATACATACTATGGTAACCTGCATTCATTTTAAAAGCCTGGAGATATTGTTCATAATGTTTTGTGTGCCAGAATAGATAAAAATTATTCCCAGAAGGGTGCATGTTTAAACTGGCAAAGAAAAATGATTGACATCTACCATAAGTACTTTTGTCAAAGCTTTGGCATGTTATTCGTTTACAAAACTGTTCTAATGAACGGTGTCCGTACTCACCAGATGTGCCATCAAGAATATGCCAGATACTTGTAAAAATCTGCTGCAGTCTTAATGCCAAATGTATAAAATACAAACAAGTTAGGCTACAAATTCTGCTAGATAAATTTGGTTGGATAAAGAGTTGAGCCTAAAGGGTCAAAGAATGTAAATAATTCTAGGCAGGAGCCTACCCTCTTGGCTAGTTTCAGAAAATGTGGATTATTATCTCTATGCTCAAACATTAAATTGCCCTGTATAAATTTGCAACTTTAATACTGATGCAGGCAGAAGTAGAAAATGCTTAATTAAAATAAGACTTTATCTCTATATCTGAGAAATAAATAAAAAAAGTATTGAATATTCCTGTTTGTTTATCCTTTTATTCCCAAATGCCCATTCCTAGCTCATAAACATTATTGTTTACAGAGGGTACAAGAACAAGAAATAAAACAGTCTGTCACGAAAACATTTGAGGGAGGATTTGATTCTTTCAGGCTCTTAAGACTCCAAGAGCTTGACAGAGGTTTTTAGCAATGTCTTTTAGTCCTGATTTTGAGAGAAATATGTACAGAGAGCTGGCTAAAATCCCTGGTGCGTGGTAGGCCTGTGCTTAGGCTGGGTTCACATCTACTCTGACTACCTGAAGTCAGCAAAGCAGGTAGATACTGGTGAATGGGATCTTGGTCTAGGTTCCTCCTCTGACATTTTCAGGTATGCAAAGTAGATAGCCTTTCTTCCCAGCCACTTATCATGGCATTCGGATGTGCATTTATGAACTTCTAAGGCTCTATATATTAAACAACAAGTAAATTGTTTTAATTAACTAATTAATACAAAATATTTTGTTAAAGTTTAATTATTTGGGGGGTAATATATTAATAACGGAACCTTAGAATTTTGTTTGTCTTTGTTCCAGGAAGCAGATAACACGTATCTGTGGATTCAGGTAAGATCTGTTACACAAACTGGGGATGTTTTTATTTCATTTCCTTAAGAATCTACTGTAAAACTCTAAAAAATTTAAACTGATTATTACCACTTTCTTATCAACCTCCCACTAATCATCCAAACACAGACTTTAGATACCTGCTTGAATGGTCTTGAAAACTGACCCAAGAAAATATACATGTATATTTAGTGATATTTATTTGTAGTCATTGCTCCACACTGTCCCTCACAAAGTAAAACTAAAGAAGATAATTTTGTTTTGTTGTGGAGACTGTCTCCTATTCCACCCGCCCTAATACTGGTTAAAAAGTATTATTCATTCTTTGAATTTAGGAAAATTCCCTGCTGCCATGGGATTAGGGTATGAACTCCACTGCTATGGATGTCTAAAAGCATTGTTTGTACTAAATATTGTACTAAAATATGCACTGCCCATGCTTTCAGGTGTGTGCCCAGGTACCCACAGGTATGTGGAACAGTTATTATTTGGCTGGTCTCTCCCCACTTGTCCCTGCCATGGGGAGGAGATTCTCCCTTACGGCCTGGGAGGCTCAGTGACCGCTCTTCCACCAGCCTCACTTCTTCCCACTAGTTCTTTCTCGGAGTCACTGTGTGTTTATACAGAATAATATTTTCAGAGTGTAAGTGAATAAAAACCCCTGAGTTTATTAGGATGTGTGTCAAAATTACAAACACAGAGGTTGGTATCTATACATGCTAATCATTTCTAGTTATGCATGAAGTTAATTTACAGAAGAAGATTTACATTATTTTAATTATATTCTCTACAAATAAGATTCACTTAGTTTGGTTTGGTTTTGACGCTTTTTAATGTTTTGCTTGAGATATGTATTAATTTGCTTTATCAATAATATGAAAAATTAATGGAGCTCTTATTAAGGTTAAAAGCACCTCAGAGAAGTCATCACTTGTCAGCTTTTGTTTTATTACTATGATTACAACAAAGTTGCATTGCTATCACTGGCAAAATAATTCCTCCCTTTTCCCTGGCAGGTTTCAGGCTGCTTTCCTCCTCTTGTTCCTGGAGAGGAGCATTTGGAAGCTGTCCTTCAGAGCTACATGGAAGCACTTTCAGAGCAGCACAGAGGTCGGAACGGTATCTGTGTGTTCTTTGTGACTGGGGTATCTATCTGGGACACCCCAGACTCTTCCTCAGCCCCTGAGCACACAGACACTTGCACACTATGCCAGCTTCTGGGTTCCCTAGGACAGCTCTGCAAGGCACCCATCTTCCCTCACACACTGCGGCTCTCCTTCCCCTGGCACGGGACACCACCATCCCTACTGACCCTGGTCCTATCTCCTCCTGAGCTCAGCTGGACTCAGTTTTCTGGCCTAAAACAGTGGAATAAATCTCAATTTTTTCTTTAAGAGGTCTAATCCTTCAGATTTAATGAAGGCGATTTTCCTGTTCATTCCAACAGAAATTGTATCTGAAGATGAATGGCAGGGTAATACCCATTAGAAATATAAGTGGACAGCAGCATCAGATCAGATGGGTAGTGAGAAGAGGCTGAAAGGAAAATGATGATGGGGCAAAAATATCCCAACGTTTTCAACCTTTTCATTTCAGAGTGTTTGTTAGGCAATGAAGAGGGTCTCTGGTTAATGTAATTTAGCGATAATTCTTTGGAAAGGAGAAAGGATCCTTTCACAGCTGTATCAACAATATCTACTGTCTTAAAAAAAATAGCAGCTGACTTGACATGTCATGCATCACATATTTGGCCATGAAAGCAAAGTATAAGCCAGGCTGGCCAATAGCACAGATTTGGAACAATGCCACTGAAAAGTCAGTCTGTAAACTGACGCTACCTTACTTCTTGGATCCTAGGAGAGCTTGCTGAGATTTAACAGCAATGCAGAACTACCACATTCCTGGTAGATATTTCTTTTCTTGTTACATGAGATCCATGCATGAAGTGAAAAAGAGCAAATGAACATCAGGTTTACATCACCACTGATATGTGAATGATTGATCACCCATTAAATCACATACAGAGCTGGTAACAGTACACGGGGTAGTGTTAAACTAAAAGGTTTGATATTCGTTACTCTAATTAAACATGGAAATAATATGATGCAGGCTGTATTGTAAATGTTATTGCAGATTATAGACCTAGAAGAGAGGTGTTATGCCACCTTTATAGCCTCCAGTTCCTGGAGACTGTGACTTAGAGCTGCCTCAGGGCTGCCCTAAATTACACCAGTTGGTAATGACTCCCAAAGGGCTGTTATGCATCCAGTGGTTGCTGGAGTGTAAAGTACTTTGGCTATGCCAGCAGCCCGTCATTTCACAATGGAGGCTGAGAGCAGCTGGCATAGTGCTTGGAGGAAATCCCCAAGTAGTGGTTTAAGACATTTTTCTAACACTTTTTATCATGAAAGTGATATGAAATAAAGGCCAGATTTCACAAACACACAGGGGCTTTTTTTTGTTTTATTATTTAAGCATCTGTAGTTGTCGGTTAATAAACTTGGAGATGAGGGTTTCTATAGAATTTCAGAGCAGGTATCAACCTAATATTGCTTCAACTTGGCAATATTCCAGATCTTTGTCCTGGCCCCGATTCCCTGCTCAGTAACACTGCCTGTGCAGTGTAGAACCACTGGCTGTCAGAGGCATACTCCTGATTTACATCTGTGTTCGCAAAAGGAGAACTAGAATCCCCCTTGTATATGCAAGTTTTTCAGTTCAGGCTCATATTCCATGCTCCACTGGAGCTGCCAAAGGTATCGGTTGAGTTTGTGTGTATAGAGGATCTTTTGAGTACATGCATGTGTAGCTCATTCACAAGCTCAGCCAATTCAGTCAAAGTGAGGATGTATGCTGTTTTTTCTGTACAGTGTGTGGGTAGGCCAACCATTCTTACACATATATCTCAAAAAGCTATGAAATTATTATTTAATATTGCCAGTTTGGGGAATTTGACTTTGATGTATCTTCAGGATGCTCTTATGTGAATATCCTGAAGACAATAACTGACTGCTGGCAGCAGAAACTCATGACTCTCAAACTAAGCTAATGCAGTCCAAAACTCAACTGATGACAGTGTTTTCAAACTTCTGAGGCAACAAGCCACCAGTTATGATCTTGCTAGAAGTTCTATGAAACATGGGGAAAAATAAAGTAATTGACAGAGATGTATACAGTGCAGAATCGTACAAACCTTCTGGCCATGCACATTGGTGTAGTTCTCATATAAACTTACTAGGGAGAGGTAATTATCAGCTCTGTACTAAAGATATCTTTAAAAAAAAAAAGTCCATGAGTCCAAATAACATCAAGGAGAAAGGTGATTTTGTGGATAGCTGAAATGTTCCTGGATGTGAATTCATAAAGGAATGACTTTCAGTTTAAGTGAAGAAAGGTGGGTGTGCATGCAAGGACTGAACTGTAACCTTCCTAAAGAGAAGCAAAACATCCCTTTCTCTTCCACTGAGCCTCTCCTTTGAGCTAGTGGGTGACTAGTAGGTCTGTGTAGGGTGGCAAAGGGTCAAAAGAAGGATGGGTGAAAGAAGCTAACACCACGTTTTGTCTGTTCCTTAACTGTACGTCCTTCTGTGCAAGGGGAAGACTAATAGTCCATCACTTCTGTCTTCCTCATGGAAGGTTCAGAAAGTTGTGAGGAAACTTCTTTAGTGCCCTGTACTATTCATAGATGGTTACATGATGAATACCCAAAAGAAATTGAAGAAAGTGGATCAGAAAATCTTAGAATGAATCATAATAAAATGGTCAGAAAGGGGGATCATGTGGCCCACTGTTTTGTCTGAAGGCAGGATTAACTTCAGCTAAGTAAATTCTGATAGCCTTCTGTCACTCTACTTTTTAAATTATTCGATTATTTTTCATAGTAGTGGCACCTGTTACTATCCTCTAAACAATCCATTCCAGAGTTTAGCTACTATTTCTGCACACTGGAATGACATCATTAAGCTAGAACTAATATGAGCCAAATACTGGAGGTCCATCACCGCCTTAATATGGTTTCTTCTTTCCTTAGATCCTTTTTGGAGTTTGGAAAGAAACCTAACTAAAATTAAATGGCTTGTACCCTACATATCAAAGGATCCAGGCCAAGATTTCTGTTCACTTTAACAGTGTAAACTTGGCATAACTTCTTGGAAGGCAAGGATTTTACTCCACATTTCCACTGAAGGTGGAATACAGTACCTGAGAACAGGAAACTTTTGCCATAATGTAAAACCAATGTATTTTTGTCTCCTGTGTACTTTCAAAATTTGTTCTTGAAGGCAGAAAGGCAGGGATGGATAAATGTGTAATTAAAGAGAGCTAAAGAGAGCTAAAGCAGTAATTATTTTTTGCCATAGTTCTTGAAGGAAGCTAAGGTAGAGGTGTAGAAAATCAGTTACAGTGATGCACTTCACTTAGCATGGGAGTTCATGCAGTGCAAAGAGCTTAATGTGTGCAGCTGAGCTAGGCCTAATGGACATCAGTTGTTATCTGTGGAAATGGAGTATGTTAGAGGCAGCCTGGCTACTGTACCTATCTGTGATGGCTAGCGGGATTTTCAACACACTAGTGACCTTTTCTTACTCATTTTGCTGAATTTTCATCCAATAAAAGCCATCATCTGACTGGTCCACCCAACCCCATATTGTGCAGTCTAAGCCCATTGGTGAGAGTTTAGTAAGAAGAAGGAGGGAGAAGAGGGGGAGTCTACAAACATAAAGCTGAGTCTGGGGAGTGAGGACTGCTGCTGAAAAACCTATGCAGCCAAGCATCACCCACATTTTTATATAGCTTTTTATACATACATACAGCTTTTTATATATACATATATGTACGCATATATACATATAGCACTTTCTACACTTTGCTTATTTCTCTCCCAAATGACCAGAAACTCCTGTAAACTTGCTAATAGGCTAGCATAGACCTTTACATGCTGTCTGACACTACACAGAGTGAAAACCTTTCCCCACTGTGCCTACCTGTCCCACATCAGTACCGCACGTACTGCAACACCCCAGCAGTCAAATCCACCAGAGAATAACCCCGCCCATATACCACCAACCACTTCAGCTCTTGCCAGATCTTCAGACTGATTTATAGTCAATATCCCCCAGCACCTTTATGGTTCTTTTAGGACATCAAGCATAGGAAAGAAGAACTCGTTCTCACCAGAAATAGGGACATCTGGAGCTCTGTCCTGCCTAATAAGACTTCAATGTGGGGAAGGCTCCCTATATTTTCTTGCCCCACTGCACATGTATATAAAGGCCAAACAGGATCAACTTAGATATCTCAGTAGAGGCAAGAAGTTTTAAGGACTTACCTCTTGAAACAAGCATTCTACCTAGAAAGAAGCACTGTGAAATTTACCATACTTCATCATAAACTTGCAGTTTCGTAAGGAAAACAATTATATAACTGATCTAAATGGACCAGTTTAACAAAAATCTCGTTTATTAATTATATGTCTTATAAAGCTCCTGGCACATGAGGAAGTTACAACTAAGTACAGATGTTCACATAGCAAAAACTTACTACTTGTTATTGCTGTTGTTCCTTGACTGTTTTGATGGTTGCATACTGGGTGTGTTTACACAAAAAGTCAGACTCCCCAACACAATGTGAATTTAACAGAAATGTTGCTGACTTCATTTCCACTATAGAGCAAAATCCTGCTCTGCAAGGTTTAAGCATGGATAGCTGGATGGAGTAAAAGTCACAAATGCCGAGTGGTATTCCTCCATAGAGTTCAACAGAGGTGCAGTAGCTGGATAGCTCTGATTTTCAAAATCCTGAAAAGTTACTGAGGCTTTCAGCAAACATGAAAAGAAATACAATTTTGTCCCAGACCATTTAGAAAAAAAAGCATTGTTTACTTCTTTTTCCCTATTTTTTTTTTTATTTTTTAAATGGTTGGTTTCTTATCAGACAAGAACAGCTTCAGTCTTAGGTCAACATTTGACATTCCAAAAACATGAGTGTCTTTGCACAAAAGCAGACTATTTTTCAATGAAAATCATCTCTATTTTATAGATGAAAGTGTATTCTAAAGGTTGAAGTTCTACTAACAAAACTCAAAACAACTGCATTTTTAATGACATGCAATCAAATGGAATACCTAGAGTAGGCTGAACCCTGACATGGGTGAGTGGGGAGAGCAGGAGTAAGATCCAGGAGGCAAACTTGGAGCCTTGGCAGTTAGAGAGAACCCTTTTCCAAAAGCACAAGTATGCAGAATTTAATTAGATAGGTTGTTTCTTCCAAGAGGGAAGATCTGTGTTTGGAAATGCTCATTTCAGGGCGGGGGGAACATGGCACAACATTTTGAGTGGATTGTGGGAAAAACTGTTTGCCAGTCTGAGTGAAGGGAAGATGCTGTTTATTTTCCCAGGAGTCCTGCAAAAGGCTACTTGGAAAGTGCAGTGATTTCTGACAAATTGTCAAAATCTTTGAGGTGGCTCTGATGCTGTCAGAGCATTTTTCTCTCACCTCACACAAAGCTTTTCAACTCCTCCTATTTTAACAATCCTAACAATAAAAAATCATCGGATATTCTTTTGCTATTTTAAATGGCTATTGTTCCACTGTATTTAATCATTAAGGAACCAGAAGGGACACATTTCATTGAAAAATGTTCATTTGACCCTCTGTAAACAGCAACTTGAAGCATTTTAACAGGCTCTTCAAACTGTTTGGGCAGAAATAAAGCAGCATCTGGTTTGAAGCACACTTTCATATTGTATTGTTTATGTTGATAGCTTAAGTTCTTTGTTGTACATTGTTATTTATGACAATTGAATGTAGAACATTTTTGATTCAACAAAGTGCTTTCGTTCTACAGCATGGGAATAAAGCAATCAAAGCTGAGGTGACTTGACTGATTTCATTTAGAAGGTGGATTCCATTGGGCCTATTAGTGTTGAAGTAGAAGGGAGGGGGAAGGAAAGGATGGAGCAGGTAACTAAGGGATACAAATTAAAAAGGGTGAGAAATCTGGGAAAGAATCCTGCTGACGGTATGGACTATATGAGAAATTTCCAGGAGTCACTAAAGCCATGGGAAGAAATTGCAGGAATCTGTCCAAACAAAAAGGCAAGAATTCTATATAGATGTTTCTTTTTATTTTTTTGCTATGGAACTTGCAAAAAAACACTGATGCTTTAATCCTCTTGTCCCCTAAGCCAATAAAAAAATACAAAAATACATGCATGTTTTTAAAATATTTTCATTGTGTTTCCTATATTATTTCAGAGTTAAAACCAAACCAAATTATGCTTGTTATAAATGTAAAATGAGTCAAATGCCAAAGTAACCAGGATATATAATAAACAACCAGAAACAACATGGGGCCGTACCAGTAGTAGCATAACTGTCCCATAGCTGAGGAAGTTCTTAAAAAGGCTTATCAGAATAGTGTGTTAGCTGGCCATTACCTATAGATTAAATTTAATAATTTATAATTATCCAAAATATATCAACTTAGGTATTAAACATATAACTAGATTAGTTTAACCCTTAATGCTGATCTTATGGTAAATGTAAAAAAGGAACAATGAACTTCTTAAGAAAAAAGTTTATTATTTTTAAAAACAAATTAAAAGTATCTATTTGGTTAAAAGTGAATGTCGGAAAAGTATTCGGGTTCTAAGGAAATCTGTCTTCTAAATATTCGAGGGAGTCTTTAAGGGACAGAAAGATGTATAGAAACTATAATAAGCATTACACATTTCCAAAGCAGCTAAGGAAGACATTTATAATTATGATTCTGACTTTTCTGTTTAATTTATTCTGTCCCATGTTCCTATTTACTGCATAAGGTGCTGATTTTGAAGCCCGACCAGCTAGCTTAATTTGATTTCAGAGCTATTTCCCATAGATCATCCACTAGGACTGAGATCCTATAACAGCAAGCAGAAGCCTGGCTAGCCCTAGTGATTGCTCCCAGGCTATATGTTATTTTCTTAAAAACTCTTATTAGACTTCCTGGTTTCAGCCATGTTCAGCAATTCAATATCACCTGTATTCAAGTCAAAGGACTATAACACAATTAAATATCTTTTCCTGTTGCAATGCTGTTATATATGGTAGCATCTTCAACTTGTGGTTTGACAGAGCTTTATAGTCAGGCTGAATTTAGCACTGTATGCCTCCTTTGCCTGTTCTCCCCTCAAGACTTCAGCTCACTGCTATTTAGTTCCTCTCAGGCTGTTTTCCTTTCATTTGCCTTATTAGTAGATAGGTCAGTAGCTGATGCCACCTACTGTGGGCATCTAAAGGCTTTTCTTTTGTTTCCTTTTCTCCTAAAGCTTGAGAAGTTGCCAGTTTAGTAGTGATTCACAAAAGATATTAAAAATCATTTAAATCTCTTCTGATTAGAAAAAACATATGCTGCACCTTCCTTTACAGGTATGTGTACACATTTCTTTATAAGCATAGAAAATCCCAGTGTCTCAGCCAAAATCTTAAACAGTCAAGGTAACTAAAAATCCAAATATATTACAAATATATGACATATTAATTAAGCTCTTTCCATTTTCAAAGCTCTTTTCATCTATAATAGTCTGGTGATTTTTTTTTTTTCCTTCCTCTACTCAGAAACCACTGGAAGCTGAAGAAGGTCAGACCTTGACTGTGTTGTTAAAACAGAGGGACAAATTGGCATCCATATATCAGATCTGCATTGCCTCCCCTGAGCATTTTTCCAAGAATCTGAACAAATGCAGAAGATGATAGGGTACTGCTGGATCATTCTTAGCTGTAGAGGAGTGTGAGGCAGTGTGTACATACGCATAGGAGTAAATAAACTGTTGTGAGAAAAAGCTGTTAATATGGAGATAAAATATTAAAAAAAAAAAAAAAAAAAAAAACTCCATGAACTGAATTTTCTCATGCTGGAACCACAAGGAGCTCCACTCCTAATTCATTACGCTAAATTTGTAGAACGATTGTGGCCATTTCAAGCCTGTACAATTGTGTCCCCTTCTCATTTTGCTGGTTTTCTTGCACTGCAAGCTCTGGAAAACAGCTGCACCATTCAGTAGAGATGCCCAGTGGTGTGTGGCCTCTGGAAGGCTTTCACAGTCATAACCACCTGCTCTGAATGCCAAACATACCTAGCCAAGCAGCTACTCTGCTGCATGACCAAACCACCTGCAGGAAGCAATTGCTTATGCAGCACAACCAGGTCTACAGCACAAAATAGTGCTCAGACAAAAGTAACAAGTATGCATATTCAAAGCTTTACCAGTAGTCAAAAAATACATTATCTGCCCAGAAATCAGAAAGGAAAATGAATACCCCTGTAATACAACACAAATAAATTCCTGTAATCGCTTGTTTACAATGCACCATTCACTCTGCTGTATTCTCTCCTTCCCCTTCCTAAGTGTAACTGCATGCAATACCCATGGCTGCAGAACCGCACAGTTGCTAGTATATCAGTACAAACAAAATTTCCCCAGCCTGCATAGGATTTTGGTTAATATATATCCAAAAATGTGCAAGATACGCTTGGTTATGTGTATCTGAGTATAAACATGTGCATAAGCATATATGCAACCACTTCAGATGCAATACAGCAAACCTAAACCTCCTGTCCTGTCCGTGGTTTATTTCTCAAAAGATCAGAGGTTCTAGGATCTTCTTCCCATTTTATGCCTCTTGTATTAAGCATCTTAAACATTTTTTGTTCCTTTATCATTTCTTCTTATAGCATATAAAACATTCTTGCCTTTTTGAACATTTCAGAAGGCTCCTTTTTTTTTTTTTTTTTTAAGCAGTGACTGGTCTCCCAATTACTCACAAACATAACAACCCAGATTTCTCTGTTACTTCCTTACATATTATTTTAATGTTTCTGTTTTAAATGAAACCAAGAATGAAAACACTCCAAACAGTGAATTAACTTTGACATGTAGATGTTCTTTCATGATGCTTTCACTTTGAATTTGTAGAACTTTGTTCCTCATATTCCATTTCATATGACTTTTACTAAACTTAAAATTTTCTAAAATTATTACATTTCATTTATTAATGAACAGAATAGTCATATTTTCAGAAGCATTTATGCAATAAAATTATGTCTTCAGCTGATTCTGAATTTCCCACAAGGCACTTATTGGCTTTTGGAGACCTTGTCTTCTGACTTCCAGCAAAGTTCTTAAGTAGCTAAATAATTGTTGATGGCTGGAACTGAGAATCCAAAATCCTCATTTAGAGAGCTTTACTCACAAATTCTGAGCACTATCAGGCACCTTATCATTTTCAATGCGGTGTTCATGTCAAGAGGCCAGTGCTGCTTGTTGTGAAGATAGATGGGGGATTGAACTGAAATGCAGGGAATAGAAAAGTTGTGCATCTGATTCACTGTGAAAAGTTGACTCAGTGAAAAATAAATTTAACTGGCAAAACATAGTTCTGTTCTGGCTTATTAGCAGAAACACTAAAGAATACTACCCCGTTTCTACCAGTACAGCAATAATTTGAAGAGTAGGTGTTTGAATTTCTTGGTTTTGGAATCTTGACAGCTGCTATTGCCAAATCCTGCCTTCTTGCATTGATTTTGATGCTGGAAAAAATAACAACCACAGCATGTTTAATTTTACTGTCTTATAAACATAAGGGGGAAAATCACTTCTGGATTTTCATTAATAAGCTTAATAATCTCTTAAGAAGTCTTTGGCAAAGCAACCAATAAGAATGAAGGGATTACAAGCTTTAGATTTTAATGAGAATTGGTTGTTTGTGGTATTTCTCATTCTGCCACAATCCATCATCAGAAGAATGTGTATTAAGATTTCTGTGCCTAGAATCACAAAATCAAAGTATCCTATTTGCATTTCTCATGTAGGCTTTGAATTGGACTAGTTAGATGAACAGTTTTAAATGTGCACATTTGATTTTGTTGGCCATTTTCCCCTTTGTTTATAGGCAGCACAGATTTTTAGGAAGGAATTCAGTGGCCAGCTGCCCAAATTAAAGAATAGTGAAAAGATCAAAGTAGTGCATATTGCTACTGTGGTAGTTATTAGCATTTGTGATACCTTATTCTCATGACAGAACAGAAAGTGGCATAACATCAATCTTGTTTTGTTACAAAAAATAATAAAAAGGGGAATTGGTACAAGTACAGCTGTTTTCATTCTAATCTCAAGAAAGTAATGTCAGAGTCCTCTTCAGAGGCTGTAATGAAAGGACCTTTGAAGAGCTAGTGTATTCTTCTGTTAGTCACAAAGGTACTGTACGCAGTAATTCCTTTTCTTAAGAAATGGCTGTTCCATTAGGCCAACAGGAACTGATCACGAGGGTCCCACTATTGCTGAGATGGGGTCATGTAGAGTGGAAATATGAGCTCTATAACCCTTGACCCCTTTCCCTCTTTATTTCGATTCCTTTAACAATGCATGGTTGGCAGACAAAAACAATGGAAAGTTCCAATCTCTTTTGTTTGGCTTGGGAAAAACTCAAGCCAGCTCAGTTTTGTTTTTACCTAAAAGTATGTCTGGGTTTCAATTAAAAGGAGCTACTTTAAGTTTGCTAGTCTGTGAAACTTTGAAAAAAGCCATTGTTGCTCATCCATGATCTAAGCAACAATGAGATACAGATTCTCACAGTGTGTCACAGTAAAACTACGTCTCATTTCTAACCGTAGAGGCTAAGAAAGGATGAACTGCTAGCAAGCTGGATTTTTAAAAAACTACGTATTCATTTGTGTCTGTTTCTTAAACCATTACTTTTTAAAATGACATAATGTTTTAGAAATTCTGTGTCAGGGAAATACTTGCAAAAGTAAGAACCGCAAATAGCATAGTTGCAAGTACTGGTGCAACTTGGGAGCATAGCAGATGATGCCCTTACTCACCACCCCTTACAGAAATGTTGCATGTTTTATTGTAGTGGGAAGTTTGGTTGTCTGAAAAGTCAAAAGTATCTGATTCGGTACTCCTAAAAAATTAGAATTTGAATTTATATTATAAATTAAGATTGATGACACCTATTTCTAATCTGCTCAGAGTCTTATGTGCACATGCAGTCATCTCGCAGTTCTGGACTCATGCAGAGACAAATATTTAACTTTGTATTTTCTCTATTTTAAGCTTTGGTAAAATTTCTGTCTTTTAACATCATTATACAAAAACGCAGTGTCTCCTTGATAACATACCTATGTACGTGAAACAGTGATTTCTCTTGCAAACATCTCCTCAGCATCAGCTGGTAAAGAATTGGTCCCTGGTAGCTCACTGTGGGTCTCTGCATTTGAAAGAACCTTGCATGACACAGCAAAATTCAGCTGTCAGTAGTTCCCCGTGCAAAATTTGTAGTAAACACATACACTGTAAATCATCTGTAGAGAACTGTATTAGCTGACACAAATTTGTCCAGCACAGTGGGTATGACTGAATAAAGGGAAGACACAACTGAAATCCTTATCCTATTGAAACTTCCATAATTTTTATAAGGTCAGCAGTTTATCCTTGCTCCATTTTGGTGTTTACAATTTCAGCTTTGGGTATATATCCCCTGTGGAAGTAGATCCCTTCCTAAATACAGGTCTTCCTTCCAAAGGAGACACTGGGAGACCCTTCCTGTGAAAAGCTCAAGTGTTCCATTTTTTGACTGAGTATAACCAACTGAACTACCAAGCAGTAGAGAAGAGTAAGTTTCAGGATGTATAAATACAGCTTTTGAAGAATCACAGCTGAATGATTCTGAACAGTTTGCTGTTCCTAGTTTTAGTTACACATTTATAACAAATACATTTGCCAGGTGCTCACCCTTCACTTGCTAAGGATAACTATGTAAAAACATTCCTTTCCAAAGTTTAGATTATAACTGTTTTTTAAAATTATTTGCTTATCAGTAAGTTTACTTTTGCCTTGTATCATCCTTTAACCCTAAAACTAAACATTCTTATAGAGCTTGATGAACTTTTGCAGTTCAAAAACAGTTCTTAACATTTAGTTTGCAATATCACAGTGTCCTCAGTTCCTCTGATAGAAAGGAATTTGTAAGAGGCAGGTCTAAGGAAGAAATCATTGGGAAAAAAAAAAAAGTTTCAGAGTGAATTACAAGCTTCCTTTGTTACTGGATACCAATAATTTAATGCACATACAATTAAAGAGAAATATTTATAATACGGATTCCTAATCTTGGGATTGCTAGGAGCTTTTTCAGTCTCAAGACCAGCCTGACATGATAGGGACATGATGGCTAGATTTAAACTAGATGAAAAGGCTTGCTAGGTTCCTTCTGAATAAGAGAAGGCATATAACTTGTTGGTCATTGCCAACTACTTGACCAGCTGTAGAAAGGAAATAAATGTTCTTATTAAAAACAGAGCTAAATGAAAGAAAGGTGGTATGGTCCACCTTCTCTGTGGGTGCTGAAGGGAAACATTTGCTACCTTTTCCACACAGAATTGATGTACAGAAGCAAAAGGTACCTCAGGTAAGGAATTTCCACAGTCAAACCCATGGTTCTTGTCCAGATGAGTACCATCTAGGAATTAAAATCCTTTATAATGTAAAATTCTGAAGATTATCATGTTGTTTACACCCAGTAGTTTGAACAAAGCCCACACATTCATATCCTGTTGCTTGAAACAGGTTACCTTTTTTTCCTTTCTTTTCCTTTTTTTTTTTTTTTTAATTCAGAATTTAAGGAGACTAGGGACCAAATCTTGCTTCTAGATGTGTGCATGGCTTCCACTGGCTTTTATGAAAACTGTGGGTATGCCTCTCAAGGAGGAATT